CCAAAGCAATTAAATGACCATTTATTAGGAAAGTGAATTTGCTCTGTAAACTTTCACCCAAATCACAATTAAAAAAATAAAATAAATAAATACACAAGTTAAAAAAAAAAAAAAGACCATTTATTAGCAGTCCCTCAAAGGCTAAGAGGGAGCATAAGGTGCTATTTAATAGCATTTACATCGTATTAAATAATCTAGAGATGATTTAAAGCACACGGGAGAATGTGCATAGGTTATATGCAAATACTCCACCATTTTACAGAGGGGACTTGAGATCCATGGATTTGCGTATCCACTGGGGGTCTCAGGACCAATCTCCTGTGGATACCAAGGTACAGCTGTATGTACCCATAAAGTACAATTTTCCATCAACAGTGCTCAACTGTTCTCTGCATTCTTAAGTATGACTGTCATCTCTTGGATTAAATTATCGCAGTGGGAATGTGCCTCTGGAAGTATACCGGAAGCCAGGGAAAGAGTGTTCTAAACAAGAAAACGTAATTCACAGAGTATCTGCCAAGAAGGCAATTGCAGAGTAATGCAGTGTCGACCTGGCCCCCATTCCACTGGGAGAGGATGCTTCCAATTACAGATGGTACACTGTATTTGTACAAACAAACTGTAACTCATTTAACCTGTCTCGAGAGAGATTGTTTAATTAATAAACAGTTTCAGGAAAAAAAATCTTTCTCAAATGCCTGATAAAACAAAATTCAGTATTTCTCTTCTAAAAAAAGTTAAGAGATGAATACAAGATACTGAAAACCAGAAATACTGAATTTCTCCCTCATACATTTCCTTTATATCATTTTTTAACTGCCTTAGATTCTATCTTTTTTCAGCAATTTTTAGTGAGAACGCTAAGCTGTGTTATTTGTCCTTACTTTTCTAGAATATTAAGAACAATAAAAATTAACATTACTTGTGACTGAACATAAGGAGATCTGGTGGCGCAGTGCCTAAGGCATCTGACTGCTAACCAGAAGGGTGGCAGTTCAAACCCACCAGCTGCTCCTCGGAAGGAAGATGGGGCAATCTACTTCCGTAAGATTCACCACCTTGAAAACCCAATGGGGATCACTATAAGTCCGAAACGACTCGACAGAAGTGGGTCTGGTTTTTGATTTATGGTAACATGAGTAGGCATTGTGAATATATACACATCCTGGCCTAAATGTCTTCTCACAAGGTGCCAGGTAGCTGGTGGGAGTGGTCACTAAGTGAAGTCCCAAGCTCACCACAGGCAGCATTAAAGACTCAACCCAAGACTACAAGTTACTTTCATGTTGTTTACTTGACAGAGCCTCTTACTCAGATTCTGCCTTCTGTTCAACAATATTGGGTGGATATGGGACAGAGAGGGAGAGTGTATTGTGGAGTGTCAAGCAGTCAGCTGCTGTTAGTACATCATATTTCTAGGCCCTGAGGAAAAGCAGTAAGTGACTCTTCAGTTCTTCCAGGAAGGAGGCCCAACACACAGATGAGAGTAGAAGTACTGGCAATAAATCTAACAGGAAAATACAAGGGTCTGCTGGCCATTCCTTTATGAACTGAACTTCAAGGGCCCTAGATCTCTCTAGAGTGGGTGTGCAGGGGGCCTCTAAGCAGAGTTGTGCTTACTTTGATGAATGTTTCATACACATTGAGCATAGTGAGATGATCGCCCTCCTCCACAGCAAATTTCCGGTGCACTCGAATCTGGAAAGAGTAAAGCAACATACAGAAGTTGACTCCTGTGTGGCCGCGTGTACCAGGAGGGAACATGGCACAGTGAATCACCATGGGTTACAGAGTCACAAAGACCTGGTCCCCACCGTTCAAGCTCTGCCATTTCCAAAAGACCTCAGATAGCAGATTTCTTGGCCTCAGTCTCCTTATCTGTGAAACTGATCAATTAAACTTCCCTATCAAGATTGCTGCGGGATTAAAATAATCTATTATGAATACCTGGCAGAGGTATTAGCCAAAGGTCAGTGTTCTTGTCTTCCCGGCTGCCCAGCTGCTATCATTTCTTTCAGAAGAACTCCTCTCAACCCCCAATAGAACACACACTCTAAGAGGTCAGAGGGCTGGCTACCTAACACATGGCAGACACCCAACATTCCTAGGTAGCCACTGGCTGCACAATTCTTTCAGACTCCGTTTCTAAATGTTCCTTTCTGTAAGATTCTGGGCAATGCCATTTGCTACCATGGGTTCAAAGAGCAGTATATACATACATATGCAAGTATACAAATATACTCATAAACTTCATAATCTTCTCCTTTCACCAAATACCAATCAATCAACCTCCCTTTCTCCCCATTTCCTTCTGTTCATTCATCAACAAAGATTGGCGGAGCACTTACTACAGACCAGGCACTGTTCTGAGCATTTGAGATGTAGCAGTGAGCAAAACAGTGGTGGGAGACAGACAGAAATAAAATGCATAAGCAAAATATATAGTATGTTAGGGAGTGAGAAGTGCTGGAGGAGAAAAATGCAGCAGGGAGCAGGCACACAAGGGGGAGCAGGCTGCAGCTTTCGACAGAGTGGCTAGAACTTCCGTTTTCCCATCTTCGTAATACGTTTGCTTGCCCTCAGGTAGGATTCTTAAAAAGGTTTAAAAAGAAAAAAGAGAGAGAACATGCACCCAACCATTTGAGCATGCAGGCAGGAGAACTTTGTAAGCCATAGGCATACACCTGTCAGGAAGATGACAACAATTCATAAGAAAGCTTCTCTCCTCCTCACTACACATCCAACTCAGCCCCTCCCTGGGCAAGGCTGCCACCTCTCAGACCGTGACCTCACCGCTGACCTACCTCTATCAGTACACCTCATCTCCGGACTACTCTTTAATCATAACTTTTTCTTCACAGTCATTCCAGCATTAAGTCTTTTCTGTCATCACTGAAGCCTGGGTTTTGTCATCTCCTTGGCTCAGAATGCCCCACCACCAAGCCCACCACAACCTAGTGCAGTACCCAGAACTGGCCTGCTGTGACCAGCCAGCCTACTCCTTGCATCACTAATGAGCCTGCCAAGATTGCTACCACACTACCCTGAACGACAATTTCCATCTTGGGAAACTGCAAGTCAATACTGCGGTAGTTAAGATTTGGGGCCACTTCTGGCTCTGCAACCATGAGTGAGTTACCTAACCTTTCTGTGCCTCCATCTTTAAAAGTTATCCTAACAGCATCCACTTCCTGAAATGAAAGGATGTCAGGAGCAGGGTGGTGGTTGCGATCTGCGGCCGACTCCGCCTCACAGCGACTCCACGTGTGCAGAGCAGAGCCACGCTCCAGAGGGTTTTCAAGGCTGTGACCTTTAGGAAGCAATCATGAGGCGTGTCTTCCAAGGTGCCTCTTGGAGGGGTACGAACCGCCAACCTTTAGGCTAACAGTTGAGTCCTTAACCCCTGGCGCCACCCAAGGACTCCTAGGTATACAACAAACCCTCAAAATGTGAGCTGATATCACTTGTGCAGTTCAGTCTTCATCAGTTGCTGGGGACAAATTTAATGGAAAGCCCCCAGTGAAAGAGACTGTGTGGCCCACTTAGGTAGAAGGCTGGACTTACTGCCTGAGACTTCTGGTTTGGGGGGACCACAAAGATATTCTGGATCTGCATCATGGCTGCAATGCTTAGGACTTCCTGAGAGCAGCCAAAATTTCCTATAAAACAAAGGGCAGGCTTGAATTCAAACATACAACGTGTCAACAAGGAGTGAAAGACATTTTCCAAATTTTTCCTTGTACCATACTTTAAACTAAGACCATATACTTACACATAGTTTCATGTTTTTTTAAGGTTATAATATATAAACACTCTACTCTGACAAATGGACTGCCCTGCCTGTGGCCCACCAGAGTGGACGTCCTGAAGGTCTCTGAAAAGCTGCTAGTCTGCCCTGGAGCTGTAACACTGGGGGAACCCAGCCATAAGTCAAGGTGCAGTTCAGGCTGACCCAAGCTCCACATCGACTCCCTACTCTCTTATGTGGGATTGAGAATCCTGGAAGTAAGGGAAAAGGGGCAGAAAATATGTGGGCCATGTCCCTTCTGCTACTCTTCTGGCCCCAGACCATTCTATCAGTGACCTCCCTTTCAATAGGGCTCATCTTGCCTGGGAAGCCCCATGAGGCATATATAACAGGGCTGCGAAGCACCACGTGGGCTGCTAGCTGCCAGCACAGGGGAACAGAGTCTGCAGCAACCCACACTAGACATCAAGAGCAATTCACTGCCTGACCTGCTTCCCCACAGTCTCCTGCCTCATGACTGGTGCACTCTTCCGACCGCACACTTGAAGACTCCTGTTCTTCAATGTAAGGCTAAGAGTATCTGGTTGTTCCAAAACACAAGTATAGCTAATGTGCACTGTGCTTACTCTGAAACACATCTTTCATGGACTTCCAGCTGTCAAAGTTAGGCAAAAGGAAAAATTAGTATTAGCTTTCCCAGGAGGGTTAATAATAATAATAATAATAATACTCCCCAGATAATTGTGACTTGTAAATTTAATATCTCCAGGTCTTATGTCTCAACTCAAATCCTCACGAAAATCTGAAGGTGTTAGAGGTGGGCCCACAGGAAACAAACACACACCAAGTGTTTGCTGAATGCGACTGAATGACAATACAACAACACTTCCTGAACCTGACAGCTTTACATGAAAGCTGCTTCACTGCTCTGAGTGCCCTGTGTCACTTCCCCAGGGACTTCAGAGAGATTCCTCTGACGATGAAAATAAAATCAATGAGAGCTGTCATCTCACCCACCTGATTCAAGCAGCATTTTCGCAAACATGGGATTCAAAGGAAACTCCGCTGTCCTCACACCAAGCGGTTCAGTTAGCCGACAGTCTTTGTCCAGACCTGCCATTAGGAACAAAACTAAGACTCAGAGGCATGTGCCACTGTGTTGGAAGAAGCGATACAGTTGCTGAGAGAAGAAAGGATGATGCATGCTAAAACTGGTATCCAAAAGATGATTCATGCACTCCCAGCTCACTCTGACATGACACCAAGGTACCGCTACAGGACAAGCAGCAGCAATCTGCCTGAGCTCTTGAACATGCAACTTTTTAAAAAGTGATACTTCTAGTGATTTCTACTCAAGGACTCCGATTGTAAGGGCATGGTCCTGCAGCCTCCTCTCCCCTCAGCCCACAGCCACCTCTCTTCTGTCCCACTACTCCACAGAGACTGCCCTTTCTCCAGAGACCCAATAATGCGATGGTGTCAAGAAAGCTGGCTCTGAGCAGCACCTGACTCAGCTGACCGAGCCTTCCTCCCCAGCCTCCCTGCCCCTCCCTCTCCTGCTTTTCCACCACCCACCTCTCCAGCTACTCCCTCCCAGCCGCCTAGATCTTCCACACCCAGTCCCTCACATGCTGTGGACACCCCAGGACGCATCCCCTGCTCTCAGTCCTTTTCATGCTATGCTGGCAATTACAAAGTGGGCAACTCTGAATCTAAACACTAGCCCAGATCACAATTCAGTGCCAACACCAGGCCTGGGTACCCAACTGCCCCCCAGGCAGCTTACTGACTGGGTAGCCAAACAAACAAACAAACAAAACCCACTGCCATTGAGTCGCTTCTGACTCATTGTGATCCCCCTTGGGTTTCCAAGACAGTAAATCTTCACAGAAGTAGACTGCCCAGTCTTCCTTCTGCGGAGTGGCTGGTAGGTTTGGAACTACCAACCTTCTGCTCAGCAGTCAAATGCCTTAGACACTGCACAAGTAGACTCCTTCAAATTTCAAATATAAGTATTTCTAACTCCCCATCTTCCCTCCCTGCTCCTTTACCACTTACCACTGTCCAGGTATTCATTAGATTCCCAAGACTCCTGGAACACAGTCTTTCGTTTTACTGATTAAAACAAATGGTGCAGAGCTCACAGGAAGACAGGGAAGGTCATTTCTCTTTTGTCCCCACAGAGTCATCTCTTTAAAGCTGGTAATTCAGCTCGAGACTATGTTAAATTGGGATTTTCCCAACTTCATCCCAGTGGAGAAATAGAAAGTATTTTAAATTTCAATCCCTTTGATTAGAGAAGTATCAGTTCAAATGAAAAACTCCTTG